ATTGATCACTGGTGTTGATCAACGTCATGTATGCCAAGTCCTTCTTAGTATAGATCGAATGCAATCGACTAAGTTACGATGTGGCCAGTTCCCTTAAGATTACAGGTACACCATGCAGACAATTGTCAAGTAGTACGAAACTCGGGTCTAGGGTTTCTTGTTGACTACCTCCAATCACCATCTAATAAAAAAAACACTGTATATATCTATATATGTAGGTAGTAAATTAGTATTTATCCAGTTACCACATATACACATAAAGACTGATCAAATTCTTTCTTGAATATCAACATAAACCTTCTATGAATAATAATTAGTTACTTCCTGATCTTTTTATTTTGAATTCACAAGGAATTAATTAAATCTGATTACATTTTCGTTTCTTTTCTTATATCCTTATGAATAGAAAAATTGTATTTCTAATGTTTCATGATCAAATTCAATTAACACAATTGTAAATAGTATAAAGGAAACAATTTTGATTTAATTCAATTAGTTATTTACTCTGAAGAAATGGCTTATATTAAGTCACGAAACATTGTCCAGAAATACAGTTTTTATCAGAATTGAGTTGTAGAGATTTTAGTAAATTTATGATTGAGATTATGAACTATTTACTAACTAGTGACTAACGTCATGAGGGAATTCTTAGAGTTCTTGTGAGAAGCCGTGACCAGTAGAACTAATCCGTGTCGGGTAGAGATAGGTATCCATCAAAATACAATAGAAGATGGTTGTGTAATTTCATGGATTGGTTGGAGTTACACATTGGATCTCGAGAGGCTCAGTGGTCTAGAGATTAGGCGTTTGCGTGCGAGACTAGAGGTTCAAGTCTCGCGTACGGGATCGTGGATGCGCACTGCTGAGGAGTCCAACAATAGGACGAAATGGCCGTCCAATGCTTCCAGGTTCTTCACGGTGGTCTAGCTTCATTTGACTCGTGATCTCAACTGTTGAAATTACTACAATCTCCACAAAACCCTTTCTGATACCAAAAAATATAATGTAATATCATACACAGAAATATGACTTATAACAGAGTACACAATTGAGTTTAAAAGTTTTGTTAGGTACTCATAGTAACATTTATTGAGAAAAGAAAAAAACAAGTCTCTTGATCCAATCAAGAGGACAATACGAGTATTAAGATTAACAGGTCAAATTCAATGTGTCATATTTTGATATGAGATCTAGTTGTAATACCTGTTTAGAGGTTGAAAAATAATATGAATAAGTTTCAAATCTGCCCTATCCCAGTCATTGATAATCTACTAGTCTAATAATAATATTGTCACTCTGAATAACACAATCTATAAGATAGATTCTTTAGATATAGCAGTCCTGTAATAGTTCCGGTGAGATTTCAACAATTCACTGATAAAGACCATAGGGAGGATCAATTTACTCAAGTTTCTTGGAACAATATCATGGTAGTAACTATGGAAAAAAAACAGGTAACACTAATCAATAATCCTCAAACCGACTACTTTCAATCACGTTAAAATACATATTACATAATTCAAGTATATTTTGTGTATTATAAATTGGAATTCTTTGTGCTTATTAGTTTCTGGTCTATGCACAAAATACTACGTATAAGACGAAATGGCCGTTCAGTGCTTCCAAGTTATCAATGGTAGTCTAATATGGATTAGTTCATGATCAGTATATATTGACTACCTGTTTATAGGTCAATCAGTTTGTGTTAAAAAGTATTTTCAATTAGGATTAATCTCTCCAAATTACTGAAGCAAATACTACAATATTCAATAGTGACTTTTCTATTAAAGATGATCCTACCACTGAATGCCCTATTACGGCCGAGGGTGAAGAGAGTCACCTTTTTCTTTTGAAATGGTCTCACATGGCCACGTCAATACAAACACTGACAGTAAAGTCCTACTAACTGCCTTCTCGTGACATTACTGTTGTTTACGAAATTGAGAAGACGGAAAGTGAATGTTCGGCACTTTATCTGGTTGCTGAATACGGAGGATTCACCTAGGGGAGTCGATAAACCCTGGTTCCAAACTAATGGTGTACATGGGCTCCAGGAACCTGAAACAAACTACAACTACTGCTACACTACTAGTACTGTAGTGAACAGAACACGAGTTGGGACAATCGAATGTATTTGACACAACATTACAGGACTTGTTAATAAAATCTAACAATCAAACAGTAAATACGTTCGTGCATTTTCATACAAATTGTATCCCGTTTCCATTCTTTACTGTTCCATCCTCTTGCCTGTTTGCTGACAGACATTCTGTTCACGACTAACATCATCTACTACTTATGTCAATATAAGTAGCACACAACGCACTACTACTACTACTAATAATAATAATAATATGTGTACACTTGTCATCCATTCACTTGGAAAATACAAGTACTTTATGTATGTGTAAGACCAATTTTTTGTGCCTTTATATTGCCATTTTCATTAGTTTTCTGTATTAAATGGTTTCTCACTGTTATACATACATACATACCAGTAACCCCCTCTTTCTCTCTCTTCCTCATATTTTTTATTACAGTTACCAGTATTATAATAATTTCAATGATGCAAAGAATATGTCAATAAAACTTTTGTATTTAAATTCCTATAGTTACTATAAGTGGTTATATAAGAAAGGAAGTACTTTCATCAAATGAGTACTTTAACAAAAGTTAGACATGAACACTATTGGATGGCCATTTAGAAATTTACAGATTAAGTGTTCGCCAGTGAGACCGAAGGTCCTGAGTCCAAATCTTGCGAGGTGAGATCATAGATGTTCACTTCTGAAAAGTCCTATACTAGGACGAAACATCCATTTAGTACTTCTAGACTTTTTATGGTAGTCTAGCTTTAATCGATTCATGAAATTCAACTGTTATATTACGATCAAAAGGGGGTTTTGTGGAGATTTTATTAGACGTTTTCTTAATGGTAATATTCGAGAGTGAATTGATGTGTTAATGATTGAAATTATGGATCGATCTAAGTTATACAATCATAGAATATCTGGAAACACTAGATGATCATTACATCATATTGGAGAGTTTCAAGAGGAAATATCTGGAATTTTAGTACGAAGCTATGATCAGTAAAGCTCAATCATGTTAGGTGTGTAAATGGTACCCATAGAAACAATCGAAGATAGTCACTCAATATCATGGTTTGATTAAATTTGATTTGTATAGGATTGAACGTTAATTCAGTGGTGTAGGGGTTAAACGAGACAGAAGCTTCTAGGTTTGATTATCGGTTGAAGGGTCATAGATATTCAGTTCTATACTAAAATGAAACGCGTGTCCGGTGTTTCCAAATTTTTAAAGGTTAGTTAACTCAGATCGGTTCATGATATCAATAAACTTCAACAATCTTCATAATCCCATACTAATGGCATGTTTATGTTGAATAATTGACTAATTTGTTTGTGTGACTAACAATTACAGTCAAAACGCTTCATTCTATCCTATTTGAGACTTATCAGGATCTACCTTTATAGTAATGTTGATATTCTAATTATATAAACTAATATTTCACTCATTATTATAGATAACACTATAGAGTTTGCGTTACTGGCTATTACAAATGACTTTATTGATGATCATTTCATCGCTGGCTGTTATCTATCCAAACTATAACCAGGATGTTATTGTGAACAATACCAACGGCTGTTGTTTAATGAACTTAAATTCTAAAAGAGATTTATGAATCCATCTTTGAACGCTAATACAGGGAAAATGGAATACCTTCATAGCTAATTGCATAAACCATCTTATTGGTACTTATCTATAATTACTTATTTATCAGATAAAGGTTTTGTGGAAATTACAGTAATTTAATAGCTGAATTCATGAGTCAATTAAGGCTAGACCAGCATGGAAAACCTGAAAGCACTGGACGGCTGTTTCGTCCCAGTGCGGGACTCCTCATCAACGTGCATCCACGATCCCGCACTAAAGGGACTCAAACCCACCACCAACAGTCTCGCACTGGAATGCTTAACTTATAGACTACTGAGCCAGAATTCAACGGTGTTAATGTCTAACTTCAATCAGTCCACGAAATTGTGCCACCATCCGCGAGACCGATAGGTCCTAATTTTGAATCAAGGAGTGGTGGACAAATATTTTACCAACTCTGTATTCAATAGCTTGAATACTTACCAAAGACTTTGAAAATTTCAGATTTGATCCATGTTGACATTATGATGCTTATCCTCGATGAAGTTTCACATTGAAATGAACCAGTTGTTCAGTACTCTCTCACATTCAATGACTATTATTATTATTATTGAGTTAAAATAAATAGGCATGTTGTTTAAAGTTGTTTTCTGATAAGACTTTCATGAATAGTTGCTAAGCAGTTTATATTTACACTAAATATACTGATTACTGTATAATCTTAGCAAATAAAACACAATGAATTTTTCCTGCTCTGTCATTCAGCAATTCGAAAAACTTTCCAGGTATCTCACATTGTACAAGCATTTCACATACCTAATTAATGATTACTCTGGTTGTCAGAAGGAGCATCAGCCTCGTGACTTCCGAAGGAACTCGGCTTTCATCATAAGGTATCATAGCTCTTCTAAATGAAGATCTTCTAACTGCCAGGGCAGAGTTTAAATGGTTTGAATTGTTTTTTCTGGTTAGCGTTTTTTAGCGAGTTCGTTTTCTACTGGAGGGGTCGCTAACCCCATGCTTAACCCTCCTCCTTTATCTGGGCTTAGACGGGCAGTAGCCCCGATTGGGCTCCAGGCGGAGACATCTTATAATGTTAAAGGAATTTTGTATTGTTTCGTTGAAATTAAGAAAGAAATAACGATTCAACAATTTATAGCCTACAACTATTTTCTATTCAATTTCAATCTTTCTTTTTTCTTTTTACTTTGATGTCATTTCTTCTTTCCGTTATCATCTCCTTATCTACCTCCCTCCCCCTCCCTACCATACCTCCCTCTCTCTCTCACTCTCTCTGTATATATTTCTCTTTTGTTTTGTAGTCATGGATGAGTGAAATCAATGCAAATATACAATCGAATAGTAATAATAATAATAATATACTTATTATATTAGTTGGGAATAAATTAGATGAAGAAAAAAATCGTATGGTGACTAAAAAAGAAGGTGAACGTTTAGCTCAAGTAAATGAATATTATTTTATTGATAATTATATATTGTTTTCTTTAATCAAATTTGATTATTTATAGAATATAACTATAAATTTTTACAATTCATGTACTTACGCATGTTACCCCCTAATCGAGTAGAGGTTGCCGATCAACATTCTCCAACCCATTCTATTTTGGGCCTTTCTTTCTAGTTCTATTCAATTGTCATTCATTCTTCTCATGTCTATCTCCATTTTAAGGCGTAATTTGTTCTTTGGTCTTCCTCTTCTCCTTTGGATTTGAGGATTTCAAGTAAGGGCTTGTGTTGTGACACAATTGGGTGCTTTCATCAATACGTGTCCTATCCACTTACAGTGCTTCTTCTTGATTTCTTCCTCTGTTAAAATCTGGTTTGTCTTCTCCCATAGTAGATTGCTGCTAATAGTATCTGGCCGACGAACCCAAAGTATTTTGCGTAGACAGCTGGAGCCTATCTGGGGCAACTGTCGGCCCCAATCTCGGGTAAAGGAGGGGGGGTTGGGCATGGGTTTAGCGACCCCGCCCCGTAGTGAACTAACTCGCTAAAAAACGCTAACCAGAAAAAGTAATTCAAAGCATCAACATCAATGGGAGGTTGAAAAAAAACAATACAAATATGACATAAACCTCACGCTATTACACAAGCTAGTGGCTGTCTGGACTCAGTAGTTACGTGGATAACTTGATAGCATTTGGAGAGAACGGTACTGAGTTCAACTCCCAGTGAGCACATTAACTCTGGAATGTAGGTACATCGAGCTGACATGTCCTAAACAAGACGGAACATAAATCCTGGATTTCTCTACTACCCACTATTCATCTCTGATTATGGAAGTTGTACTATTGAAGAGTTCCATAATGTGACATAATAATTATTCCTTACTCTTTGATTCTCTAGCTAAAGTCAATCTTTGAATGCAAATCAAATTTAAAACATGAATAATAGAAAACTTACCTAGTTGTTCAATGGATTACCTTTAGTTATATGACCATTAAAAATCGGAAAGCATTGGACTTTTCTTTCATTCTATTATGAACCTCTATAATAGTGTTCATCAACAAACTCATCACAGATGGAACCTAGCACCATCATGTCTCATTATGAGAATTTATTCTTTAGACCATCGAGCCGACACTTAATTGTTCATATGTTTAACTTCAACATATTGAGTGAATTGAGTTTGATTCTTATGAGAACCGTTAGTTTCTTTGCTGACATTTATCAAAGCTCAAATCATTTCAAATTTATTACTCAATCTATTTATTCATGAAATACTTCATAAAATGTATTGCTGTCCCAAGTTATTCAGTAGGATGATTACATTTTGACTAGACTGATAGAATTTAATTAACATTGTGGTCTAGACACCGTCAAATATTGGTATATATTAATATCAGACATTGTTTTTGTTGATAGTATATTAATTTCAATACTTGACATTATGGATTAATTGAAGCTAGATCACCATAGGAAATCTGGAAGTACTGGATGGTCGTTTCGTCCCATTGCAGGACTCTTCAGTAGTGCGCGCCCATGATCCTGCCTCACGAGATTCGAACCTAGGACCTATCAGTCTTGCGCGTGAGCGCTTAACCACTAGACCACTGAGCCAGTATCCAATGGTGTTTATATATTAACCTGTTATAAAGTAAAGAACTCAATACCACTATATAACTGCGGTAAATTGAATAGCTTTATAAAAATGTCATTGATCTATATTCTATGGTTAGCATACATTTTATCAAAATTTCAAAGACATATCACTTGAAGGTATTAACTATCAACCAACATATATCAACCTGTCTGTATCTATGGTTAGTATATTCGACTTTCATCCACTAGATTATGGGTTCGAAACCCGCTTCATCTACTTCAATTTCAGTAACCTTGTAGTATCACTCGTCCGAATACTTAGAATGTGATTCAAAGCCAAGTATACACACATTTATACATGGTTAACAACTGGTCATAATCATTCATTTCATTAAACTCAATTTCTCTCTTTTGTTGTTGATTTATTCATAACTACCAATTTATAAAATAAATGAGAAAGGTTTCACGTGTTGATTGTTTTTTTTTTCTCTCCTTCTACACTGTTTCTTTTTTTCATAAATCAATCAATCAATCTTTCTCTTGTCTACCAGGGATAATAATTATTGCTATAGGTGGATATTTTATTGAATTGGTTTGTTTGTTTGTTTGGTTGGTTGTTTTTCTTTAGGCTATACAGAAATTTATCACCAACAATAATAAACTATAATCAGAGAGGCATTTGGGGATATTATAGTAATTTAATTACTGAAGATTTGGGTCGATTGGAGTTAAACCATTATGAAAAACGTGGATTGGTTGAAGTAAGACATTAACACCAATGGATACCGGCCGTTTTTAATGGTATAGAGGTCAAACACTTGCTCGCCAGACCGATAGTTCATGGGTTCTAATCTCACGAGGCGGTATCGTAGATGCGCAATACTAAGGAGTCCCATACTAGGACGAAACAGCCGTCCAGTGCTTCTGGGTTTCCCATAGTGGTCTAGCTTCAATTGACTCATGATTTCAACTATTGAAATCTCCACAAACTCCTTCTGATAATAATAAAATGCTCACTGGTGACCGACTTCAAGAGGCATTTCCTGGAGTTCTAGTAAGAATCCGTTACTAGTGGAGTTCAACCATGTCTTTTGTGAGATATCAACTCACTGAAGACAATGGTGCACGTTGGGGCGACTGCGTGGATTGGTTGAAGTCAGACATTAACACCGTTGGATACCGGCTCAATGGTCTGATGTTCAAGCGCTCGCGCGCGAGACTGATAGGTCCTGGGTTCGAATCTCGCGGGATTCGGGATCGTGGATGCGCAGTGCTGAGGAGTCCCATACTAGGACGTAACGGCCGTCCAGTGCTTTTAGGTTTTCCATAATGGCCTAGCTTCAATCAACTCATGATCTCCACCAAAAACCATTCTGATATTCATGACAAATTAACTGAAATGAATTCGGTTTCAATAGATTATAATAAATGGCTATTTTATTAAGTAGTATGATAATAACCAATTATAATATTGATAAACACTATGACAACAATGATATATCCTAAAGAAGAATATACATTTCTCCCTTTTTTTTAAAATTTATCAAATATTTTCGTTTTAAATTTGTCTCCCTATTGATTATTAGGAAAAAAATTGTTGTTGAACAGTCGATTAGACAGAGAGAAATCGGTTCGATTTTTGTAATTCCATATGACAAATGACAATAAATTACCTCTTTTTTGTTTGTTTGTTGTTTCGATTAACTTTGATGGCTTATATATCATTAAGGTAGGTTTAATAAGAAATTTTGAAAACTTTGGGGGTGTTATGAAGTTATGCAAAATTGTGCATGAAGGACAGTTGACAAACTCGTTTGAAGTAAAGACCGATGTTAGGTAAGGTTGCTTATTTCACCCTTTCTCTTTCTCCTGGTGATCAACTGGATCATGAAGACGTCAACATCTGAAGGGAAGAACGGGATACAATAGACATGTAAGATGCAGTTGGACGATCTAGACTTCGCAGATGATCTGGCTTTTCTATCCCAAACGCAACAACAGATGCAGGAGAAGACGACCAGTGTGGCAGCAGCCTCAGCAGCAATAGGTCTCATTATACACAAAGGGAAATGCAAGATCTTCCAATACAACACAACATGCAACAACCGAATCACATTTGACGGATAAGATTTGGAAGATTAAAAACCTTTACATATTTGGGCAGCATCATTGACGAACATGGTGAATCTGATGCAGATATGATGGCGCGGATCTGTAAAGCAAGAGCAGTATATTTACAAATGAAGGACATCTGGAACTCAAAACAACTTTCTGTCAACCAACACCAAAGTCAGCATTTTCCATAGAAATGTGAAGACAATTCTACTGTATTGGGCGGAAACCTGGAGAACTACGAAAGCCATTATTTAGAAGATACAGGTATTTACTAACAGTTGTCTACGCAAAATACTTTGGATTCGTTGGCCAGATACTATTAGCAGCAACCTATTGTGAGAGAGGACAAACCCGATTCCAGTGGAGGAGTAAATCATGAAGAAGTTCTGGAAGTGGATAGGACACACATTGAGGAAGCACCCAACTGTGTCACAAGTCAAGCCCCCACTTAAAATCTTCAAATCCAAAGGAAGAGAAGAAGACCAAAGAACAAATTACGCCTTAAAATGGAGATAGACATGAGAAGAATGAACAAGAATAGGATGGAACTAGAAAAGAAGGCCGAGTAAAGAGTGGGTTGGAGAATGCTGATCGGCGTCCTATGCTCCTTTAGGAGTAACAGGCGTAAGTTAGTAAGTAAACGATAGTTGAGTTCAACCATGTCGTGAGCATATCAGCTACTCGTGAGGGGAGTTAGGTGGATAGTTGAACATTATCACAAATTCAGTCCAGTTAGGCATATAAACCAGTGAAATTCGACTCAGTATTTTAAATCGAAATGCTATAAACGATATCAAAAGGTTTTAGGTTCGTTATCTGATAAGGTCGTTGATGCGTATCTCTGTGAAGTCGTAAACTAAGACAAACAACTGTCCAATACTTCCTGGTTTTCAACGGTTGTCTAACCAAGTTTAATTCACAATATGAACCATAAAATTGTTCTTCCAAGTTAGAGATTCTCTGGTGTTGTGGCTCTATAATTCTATGAGTAGATTGAATGCAGAATATAATCAGATCTTGTAATAAGTTACAAATTTGTAAGTCAGTAATTTATAACCACGAAAAAGTAAGTGAATATCTTCAAACTAGAATGAAACAACTATTTTGTTTCCATAGTTATAACTGATTCTTTGGTTAAATTAAAATAGTCTAATATTAAAACTACCTATCATAAGAACACTTGATGTAACATCTACTTCATTTAGCACTGATCATAAAAATGTCATAATAATCAAGTGTATTCTTTATAGGTAAATAGTATTGATCACATTATGGAGGACTGAGT